ATGCCACTGGACATTGTGTGTGGTACAGTGAATGCTCCCCGAGCTCATACAAGGACCAGAATGGGAAGTGTCAACAGTGCCATAAACACTGCCATGGTTGTAATGGGCCAGGCAAAGACCACTGCTTAAGCTGTAACAGCCCACACTTCTTACTACGTAAGAAAAAAAAGATGTACTGTAGCTCATATTATTTAATGTATGCTTGTCCTTTTCCTTTTGAAATGCTGACTCTGTGCCTGTGTCAATCAGACAACACATGCGTGCCGCAGTGTCCTGAAGGTTACTACGTTAGGGACCAGGATGAGCGCTTGTGTGGGCGCTGTCACTTCAGCTGTAAGACGTGTACTGGCCACCACAGTGTGGAGTGTGTCACCTGTAAACCTGGATTCTTCAAGCAGGGAGAGACCTGCGTCGAAACCTGCTCAGAGGGGTCAGGCAAAAAAACAAAGCCGTGCTCGCAAATCTCAGGAGTAGTCTCACATCCTTTAATAAAAAAACACCATGAAGTAAGCAGATATCCTCTTTCTCTTTCTCAGTCACTTTGGCAACACAGCCACCATGGTGTGTGAGCGCTGTGACCCGTCCTGTAGCCAGTGTCAGGGTGGTGGTAGCGGAAACTGTCTGAGCTGCAGAAAGGGCTATGTCTACATGAAGCAGTGGGGGCAGTGCCTGCAGAGCTGCCCTCCAGGATACTACCAAGTCAGTCATTCCATGAGCTGTCACAAGTGTCACCCTACCTGCAAGACCTGCAACGGTAAGGGAAGCCTGTCATGTCTATTTATTTATTCTTATCTGCATTGTAGCTTATTTTTACCCCTCAAGGCTGATGGGAAATTGAGCCCCATTGAGCCGTGTAGACACCGAACTTTGTGAACTCGATAAGTCGAGTTCACAAAGATTTTCAAATTGGTGAAAATTCTACATCTGCTAAAAATCTTAAGTTAGAATCTTGATGACCTTGATGACATCAAAGGGCAAGTTTTCTGAAACTCTTATGAAAAGAAGAACTTGAAAAAGATGTGACCTATGATTTTAAAATTTAAACCATATGTGCCTCTATTAGGAGGCTGAGGGGTAGCTGAGATGAAAAAAAATTATACTAAATTAAATAGAGAACAATTTTTCTGGAACATGGAATAAATGGATTTTCCCATTGAATCTAATCTTAAACTGTAGCAAAGATGAAGGCCTATTGTAACTGCTCTTATCTGTCGCCTCTCTCCTCTCAGACAACAGCGCTTTAGCCTGTAAGTCCTGTTATTTTGGCTACACGTTGATGGCTACCATGTGTACCGCCAAGTGTTCAATAGGCTACTACGATGCATCAGAGGTGACAGATCTCTTGTTTTTTTTATTTAGCAAGTGTTTTTGTTTATGTTCAAATCACTCATTAATCTTACACTTATCATATGCAGCAAATTGCCAGAGCTGACCAAATGTGTGAACCCGCGGATTCAGTCTATGTTTTCTTCTTCAGGACTCAAAGTCAGAGAGCGAGAAACTCAAGTGCAGAGCGTGCCACCCGTCTTGTTTGGGCTGCCGAGGTCCCGGCATATGGAAATGCACCATGTGCCACGCGGGCCAACTCCTCTCTGATGATGGCCGCTGCTTGACCTGTTGTGGAAATGAGATACGCCACAAAGAACAACAAATCCCCAGGGAGTGCTGCAACTGCAAGTCATCACAATGTAAATGAGGAGTCACACTGAGACACAAACTTCCAGCAAACACACCTCTATGACCAGCATGTGTGATCTTTTCAGTGAAAATCCCTCCCTTAGCTTTTTGAACACATACTCTCGTCCAAAAATTTATTCTCTCCTTCATATTTTCCAAAGCCATCCAGCGGGCCGGTTTAACACTCCTGATTGTTAAACCAAACACACACTTTAGATTTGTGCACTTTAACCTCATGGTCTGCTCTCTCCTTTTTCTTAGTCGAGTGCATCTTGGATGTCAACTTTGTGGTGCTGCAGGGGGAAGCTCAGAGCAGTGGAGCTAAAGTCTTTGCCTTCGTTTGTGTTCTCATCATCCTCTCTGTGGGCGGAGTGCTCTTTCTCATCTTCAATGCTCGGTCTAAATCCCGTGCCGCGACACCCAAAACCAGAGCTGGAGGGTACCAGAAACTGAGCACCAAGGAAAACACTGCACCACAACCTGCCAGCTCTTCATTTGGGGAGTACAACGACAGAATTATTGACGGTGACGATGACGAAGAAGAGGAAGATGATGATATTGTGTACATGACACAAGATGGAACGGTGTATAAGAAGTTCAAGTATGGGCTCTTGGATCAAGATGACATTGAACTAGAGTATGATGATGAGAGCTACTCATATAGATGAAGAGAGCGGACAGGGATGGTTCTCCGTTTGATGTTTATTTTGCAACTTTGTTGTGCAATGCCTTTTTTTGTAAAAGTAGAAACCGATCAGTCATGTTAATTTAATCCTTTTTAAAAAAAACAATTTGTATTCCTTTAGAAAATATTTAATTTCTAACAGTTAATTAGCTGGTGGGGCAAAGCTATGTGTAATTATAATAAAAGACAAGCCTCGGAAAGTAATTATGGGTATAATCAACATTTTTTTGCTACATATTGAAAATTTGAACCATCATTGTTTCCTGTTTTCATATCTACACAGACAGTCGTTTAATATTTTGGTGAAAATTATTTGGTTCTTTCAAGTTTGATAAACAGTGGGAAATAATGTTGTGGTGAAACAAAATGTTATTTATCTTTTTATGCTGAGAAGTGGCCTGTTGCATACATGTAAAAATATAATAAACATTTAGAAACCGATCAGTATAGGATTTTTAAGACAGACACCTTTATTTGGTGATTTAAAAATCAGATGTCAGCCAATTTTTTTTTCCTTTCAGATACATGAAACAAAAACAGACTTCCCTAGCTAAGATAACATGCGCAGTTTAAAAATAATCTACTTTGCCCTCTACCCGACTCTGCTCGGATCAGCTTGTTGTTGAATTTAAAATGCCTTTTGCCAGCAGGGGAGTTGCAGCGTGCCCTGTACAAACCATGCATTGAACTACTAACACTGGTTTTTCTTCCATCTCTTCTTCATTTTTTTAATTTTAATTTATCAACCATTATAAATGCCGACACTGAGCTATCGGCAAATGGCTAATAATAGCTGATAAATTGGCTCTGCTATAATAAAGATGCTCTGCAAACCTGCATGGGTCATCTAAATTAGGCTTGCTTCTTAAGTCACTATAAATGTGATTCAAGACAAACTTAGCTGGATTTCTTTGGGGGAGGTTAGCGTTGTCTTGTCAGTACTATTTAATACAAGTCACCTATATTAAATTTTAAGTGTTAATTTAGTTGGAAAACAGAAATAGAACAATAATTAAATTATGTTAATGTTTGCAGGATTCAGCTTTGTCAGCAAAAGCTAAAACTAAACATCTTTGCATTTCACACACAATACTATATTTAATAGCACATACATGTAATATGCTTCTCCGCTTTGGCAACATGGGATTTTAAGCAGTCTTTAATTAGTGCTGAAATATCACCATTTTATTGTGTGAATCAGGTTAGAGGAATTCTTAGACTGGTGTGATTTGTGACCCTGTGAGGGTCACTTTGGATCTTTTCAGAACGATTTACAGTTGTTGTTTCCTTGTTTAGGCTACATTAAAATCTACCATGTCTGTGCAGGTGTTCAGACCTCCACACAACAGAGCAGAAAGATTCACAAGTGATCTTCCCACACTTTTCCTTAAAATATTTTTCTTACAGTTTGACTTTATTGTGACTTTAACGTAGCAGCTTGTTTGGTCTCGCTGAGATAACAAATCTTGTTCAGTCACTGAATGTGAAGTGAAAAGAGTTGGGATTTTTTTTTTTGTTCTTTATGTTAAATGTGCTGTGAATGGTTGTTTCATAATAAAGCTGGATTAAAATAAAATTTGAGTTTCTTTGCAATTATTTTAGAGTTCAGGGTTCATGTGGTTAAAGAATGGCGACAATGGAGGATGTCAAGATTGCACACACTCACCAGCCACTTTATTAAGCCTTTTAATCTTGAAAATATGTTTCAGAACCGATTTAATCTGAATTAACATGTATATCTGTGCATATTTGTAAAAGCTAATACGAGTTCAGTAACAAAATTCAGGTTGTATCAGCCAAAGATGTAATGTGGCAAAAAGTATTAACAGGTCAGACAGCTACATATTGTTTAATGTGGGTTTCTTGTTTTCATCATTTTTGAAAATACGTTGAATGTATATAAAGCCTTAAAAAGGAAAGAGAAGAAAAGAACTTTGATACAATTGAATTCAAATGATTTGATTTAATGAAACATGGATGAAAATAACGGTGGATACGCTTTAATGAACTCTACATCAAGTATCTGTGGTCCCTGTGTAAACTAGACTAAATAACTGCAACATGTGAGACTAAAACACCAGACCGCCCTGCAGTAATTAGACGGGGGAGAAAAAAAAAAAAATTATCGATATCACTATATCTTTGATAGGCTTGATAAAGCAGCACAATTAATTAGTTCAGTCCTTTGCACGCATTAGAAATGGAACAACTAAAAGGCAGCAAAAACAGCTGAGTGTACAACACATGTCTGTTTTTTTTTTTTAAACTCTCTAAATAACGTTTTAATGTGTCTCATGTAACACAAGAGTTTATAAGAGCTGAAATCGCATCAGCAGGCTTCCATCATTAGAGCTTCGAATGAAAGTAAACACTTCATTGTAAAAGCCAAACAGGTACAGTCACAGTCACACAGTCACACTCACTCCCACACACACACACACACACCAGCCAGGGCTTTGACAACGGTTTCTGAATGTAAATATATTAAATGCTGACCGATGCAGATACTAAGAATAGTGTGCTAGTTTGATCTGTTCAAATTCTCATAAATTGGTGTTATACACTTCCACTTGTACTAAAAAGATCTTTTAGCATCTCCACCTGCCAGTGTTTTTCTATCTGGAACAAAGCCATCGACACTGAAATGAAAAGGCTAAAGGGAGTAACAAATTCCCAACGTGCTTAAAGCCCTTTTCAGCCTTAGTGTTCATCTATAATTCACTGCTGATTAAAAGGACCGGTCGCTGACAAGACAGTTAAGTGATACCTAAATCAAGATAAAATAAAAATAAAAATAAAGATTAATAAAAGCCTTTGCTTAAAACATTTTAGGTAAACATATCATTCAATAAATAACCATCTTAACCATTTTCTTCCTGCGTCAAAACAAAACTGAATTTCTGGCCAAGTGTATAAGTTTTAGGGCAGTGTCCTTTTACTTTCTCCTTTCCTGAAGAGGGACATGTAAGGAGAAAACAAGAAAACTGAAGACTTTCAAACAGCCTCAGATTGCACAATGTGTGTTTTTGTTGCAGATAATAATGCCCAGACCTTCTCTTTAACCATTGCTGAAGCAGAAAAAAAAGATAAGTCATGTATTTCCAACCAAAATAAATAGTGATCAGACACTTAATAGTCTATTTGTACCTTTTACACACAATATTTTACAACTGCCTCTGCAGTGGTTGCAATTACCTTAATCCCAAGGTCTGTTTTTAGTGCCTTCTCTAGTAAACGATTCCAAAATATACAGCAGGACCGTTGAGAGGCAGACATAATCAGTCTGTGTGACAAAACCAGGCAGGAAGCTTAACAGCTCTTTACAAAGAGACACCAACAACATAAAAGAAAAACAGAATAAAAAAGAAAAGAAAAGAAAAAAGGATTGCTTATGATTAGGTCCATGTGCATGCATTGTGACAGCGAGGCTGAGCATTTACATAAACCTTTGTCTAATTCTGGTCTGTGTGAGTGTATCCACAGCACTGCTGTCCTAGCCAGCTGTTAGTGACCGTTCATAATAGTCTGTGACGTGGACGGGCTGGGCGTGGTGGGCAGGACTGAAGAGGAGTTGGCCGTGCTGGTGAAGAAGTTGTCATCTTTCAGCTTGTGATGCTCTGGCAGCTCCAGCTTCATCTTGGCCTCCTCGATATCACTGTTGATTGCTGCAATGAGGGCTTCTGTCAGGATGGAGGCAAAGGTGAGAAAAGTGTTATGAGAGTCGCGAAAAAAAAGGGATGATGGAAATGTATTCATTAATACTGAGCAAAACTTTAAAAGGGCATTACTGGCATCACACTACATCACTTCTGTGTAGAGATGAGTGTAACTAAAAGGCATACCGAGTGAGTTAAAGCTTCTTTCTGGGCGGATGTAGCCCACAAGAACCACACTGAGAACTTCTCCATAAAAGTCTTCTTTGAATTTGTGTATCACATGAGTCTCCTATAACCAAAAATGCATAAAGTTAGATAAGAGCCATAATTGACTGAATTGCTTTTTTGTATTAGAAAAATGTTACAATGTTGCATTCGCGCCTATCCTGCATCTGGGGAAAAGAAGTGACTTGCAAAATAAAAAGCCAATCAATGCCAGCGTGTGGAGGACACGCCATATCCAGACTGCTTTGTTGGACAAAATGATTTGAAGAATTTGAAGTTTTTAAATTAGTGCTGACAGAAATCAGTTTTTAGTCCAGATGTTGGGTTTTTTGGCATACATCAGGGTTCTCTCACAGTTTCCCAGCCACCCTTCCACTGAGCCCATTTCTGTTGAGGCTTCAGTGAACAGTTGATGCATCAACTAAAGGTCCAAACTCAAGGTTCTGCGTCAGGTCTTTGTAGATTTTTCCCCCTATTTTAAATACGGTTCATCTGCTATTCTGTTTGTTCTCCACTTGTACAAAGATACAAAAATACTATTTTGTTTGTTAATCTGTTTTTGTTGGAATTATTTTATAGATTTTACAACAAAATGGGAACAAATATTAACAAAGTGTCAGAAGATACAATTTAAAACAGATTCTTTGCTAAACTGTGTGTTGCGTTTACACATCACACTGGTTAATTTCTTCAGTTGTGTTTTTTAATGCTTGGATGACTCATAAGTCAGTTGTAAGTGGCTTAAACAAAAACATTCCTCTGAAAGTGGGGCCTGACAATAAGTGAAAAAGCAGGCAACGTTTGAAAGACCTGCAGAAAACTTAACATTTAGAAGATTATAAGAAAGTCAGAGTCCTTGAAAGCAAAAATACTGAGTGACAAATGATGGCAAAAGACTTTTGCACAGTACTGAAAACTCAATGTAAAACACATACAAACAGTAGTGGACAGTGTCAATGTGAAAAGGACCTTTGGTGGAAAAAGTAAATAAAAATGGACAAATCAGTAATAAGAATGTCTACAACCCACCTGCAATCCAGATGAAAAACAAACAAAAACAACAAAACACAGTTTAAACTAAAACTGTCAAAATGATTTTATGCACAACATTATTAGAAATATTAAAAACAGACACAGGCGGAAAAAAAAAGGCAAGTTCACAAAGAAACGAATGCATGGCACTTTCTAGACTCGAAACAACCTCACACCAAGTATAAAAATAGAGGGGATAACCCAAATAATTGACCACAAAAAGCATTTTAACAGTCCAAGCCTTTAGGGCTTTCAGTCTGTAGTGCACATAAGCTATATCTGTCTCTCTGTAACAATAATCGGTCTGAATCTACACTTTTGAGAGGAGGTAACATTTCTACACATTGAAAGGGAAGGGAACCCACAAGACAGACAGCTGCATTAAAATGCCTAAACACTGGAGCTCTCGTGTCCATTTCTTACGCTCCTGTTATCTTCAGAAATCCTTATTTTTAAATCTGCTTAGTTTTACCTGCATATGCTAGCCACATGGCCATTTTAACAAGTAGAATACAGTTCTCTTTTCTATAGGAGATTCTGTTTTTTTTATTTAAACTTCTTCCCACTGTGAGGATGCAAAAAAGTATCCTTTTTTGATATACAATGGGCACGATTGAGACAGGGGAAATTCCCATCTGGTAAACTAGACAAAAATTAAATAAATGAATTGCTGAGGAGATTTATGAGAATCCACCCTGACTAACACGTCTCAAATTGTTGACATGGTCATTAGCAAAAATAAGTATGTCGCTAGATGGAATAGACCAGTGTTCTTTAAAACCAGGCACATTGCGCGCGCATGTATCTATCTATCTATCCATCTATCTATCTATATATATATATCTCACACACACACAAATAAGAATCTATATTCACCCACGGCTTAGTCAGATGACTTTTTAAAGAAGTTCACATATTCAGCTTAAATACATTTGTGTGAAATGTAATTTTCCTCCCAAAGCTGTAGAATCGATGGACACTTATAACTAGATCATAATTAGCTTAGCCCTTTACTATCAAAGACATCTTTTGTGGCCACAACACTATGGCATTTAAGTGCTTACCATGGATTTCTTGGTATTTTTGTAGTAAGGGTTCCAGCCGATGCTCATCACCATTTTGTAGACATCACCATTACCCACACAAGCCCAGCCGTAGTAGATCCCTGTGCTGATATCTGCTGGAAGATTGTCCACCACGGAGTCTCGGAAGTTTGCTGTAGGTCAGAGGGAAACATCAGATGATGGGAATAAAAAGGATGCTGTGGAAGAAGTTAGTGATTTTCTCAAAATTACTTCAAACTAGAAGAAGACTTTTTATATAACTGAAGCGTTCAACTGCTTTTTATGATAATGAAGGCCAGAAATGTTTGCAGAAAGCATTTGATTAATCTGTTAACTTCAGTGTATTCAAAACTGGTACTGTGAAACGAGACAAACTGCTTGAGAAACTTCTGTGGAGGACAAAAAAAATGCATGAAAGACATTTATTACAAACAAACCGCATCCAATATCCTATGCAAGTTTGATTTTAAGCCAAAAATCTTGCAAAATGCTCAAGGCCATATAAACTCATGTGTTTTGGTTTTGTCCGTGACTGCACGCTGCCCAGAGCTCCATTCTGATCTCTTAGAGTAAAGCCCACAGTTCATTAATTTGGCCATTTCTTACAGCAAAAAAAAATGCTGAACGCTGCCTGGTCAACAGATGTTTAAAATGCAGTCCTTATTAGTTGTTTTCAAAGCTATTGGACTGATACTGGTTAAGTGTAAAGATCTTAAACCCTAAACTTATAGGTGGTGTAAAACAAAAACTGGGCTTATTTCGAAAAGTACACGTGAGGATAAATGAAGTAATTAAAAGCTGTGACATTGTGGTAAAAAACTGAGCGATATTTACGTAAAAGGTGCAGAGCAGTTCAGTCGTGTGTAAAGGGGCAGTACAAAGAACAGTTGGACTAACAGAGTAACTGATCGCACGTGCTATAACGCACATGTATTATATAAAATCAGACCACTAATGTTAACTTTGTCTACGGTTGTTTCCAACTACTAATTCCAACTACGTTATTTGCGTAAATCGGTGTTTAGTTAAGCTTAATTAAAAGCCCTGCAAACAAATGGTAAAATAGTCAACTCACCTGTGGGAATACCGAGTTCTTTGCTTCCCCTTCCAAATCCTCGAACGACCTCTCCCCGACAGAAGTACGGCAGGCTCTTCATGACTAGAGTCTGGGACAGAAGCTGTGTCTCTTGAATGAGCGCTACAGAATGACCTCGAACGACACACGGAAGTCCGGCTAGCTAAACAGACAGGACTACACGGTTATCTAACGCACTCTTTTTGCCCAAATTTTGCCCCTGTAGAGTTCAAAGTTCACATTAGTCTTTAGCTATTATGCTGTCCTCCTCGAGTAGGTTAAGGTTGAACCGTGAAAGTTCACTTACTATGCTATCAGCGCTAATAACTGTTAGCCTTACTGGAAACGAATAATTCCTAAAGCGGTTTTCTCCAAAAGTGCTGCTTACACCAGATCTGACAGATAGAAGTCTCCGCTTCAGACAGATCCACTCTCCGTATGACTGAGAAAACGAAGTACAGATCCTCACAGGTAGCCGGTTATATTACGTGTGTTGCACCATCACATATCTGCGTCACCAACGCTTCGTCTGATGTCACTGACCGCGTGACCAAAGACGGACGAGTAGCCATGTGCTGCCTTCAGGTGCTGTAGGAAATATAGCGATTACAGATACTCTGGCAAAGGAGTTGAGGAGATGTACGGACAGCTCGACTAGTTTTTAATCAGGAGGGTTGACTTGGCAGTCTTTTCTTTTATACTAATGCCACTAGTCAAAACTACATGAATTTAAGTTTGCTGGTTTGGGATGGCAGGTAATGAGCAACCACATGTTTATACATAAAAGCTGTACTATGGTTTTCCATGTCCATTTTTTATACTCCTGTTAGTATTATGTTACAGATTCATATATTGGGGATGGACACAAGAGGAAAAACCCAAAGAACAACACTGGTCCGGCCGGGTTGAGTCAAACAATGATTTTAATGGTCACACGAGTGGGAGATGGACACCGTACGCAGACAGCCTCAGATCTCGCCTCAAAAACCACATTTCCATAGTTTTATGAAATCAGGGTATTAGAACGCCCCTTCATGCGTAAGACAGGTGCAATACAATCAATGTTGACAGTTTATTTAACACAGAAAAGAACATTCGCTCCTTCCCGAGGACAGGCACTGACTCCCACCTGTCTCCTGGAGCCAACTGTCCCCCTGCGGAGACACAACATTGCAGCTACAAGGATTTCCAAAGTGATTAAGGTGATCAGTGTGTAATGCTCTGAATCAAGTATGTAATATTAAATGAATATTGTTTAATCAACTGCCACTACTTAAAACATAACAAAAGATATAACTGAATACAGAATCACAAAGAATAACATTATATCAGTGTTGTGTGAGCGCGTGCGGCCTTCTATGCTCGAAGCCTTTCCCCTCCATAGATCAGCCAGACATTCGCGCTGACTGTAGCTTTTAACCCTTATTAACTTGAGCACAACTCTATAATGAGCAACAAACTGCAATATGTGTGAGATGATCATGGTTACCCCTGCAATGAAAGATCATATGATTATTCTGGTACCTGTAAATAGAAGATTAACCTAAGGTTATAACAATCACTGTAATGTAAAGGTTAATGTAAGGTCAAAAGCTTCAATAAATGTTTAATGCAAAGCTGATTATATGATTCTGATGAACTAATAATGCAGATACTAAAATAACAGAAAAACATCCCCTTTTTATCCCACAGGAGGTTGACCCCAGGTATTAACACTTATCCAAAAAAAACCCTCCCACCTGATTTGTGAATATTATACAAGTGACATATTTCTTTATTTACAGGCATATTTTTTGTAATGTTTCATTGGGAAAGATCAGCTCAAAGTGTTGAAAGTGTTGCCATATGTCCTGCTCCACCCTCACGTACGTCTCTGTCACTCCTGACTTCCTCCTGCAGTATCACAATTCTTCACTTGGCACCCTACCATATGCTTTCTGTCGATCGACAATGACACAGTTCCAGTTTCTTCTAACCTTCTCTGCACTTCTCCATCAACACTCTAAAAGCAAACATCACATCTGTAGAGCTCTCTGCATGAAGCCATACTGTCGCTCACTGATCATCACCTCTCGTCTTAGCCTAGCTTCAGGAACTCTTTCCCACAGCTTGATGGTATGGCTTATGAACTTTATTCCTCTGTAGTTATTACAGCACTGCAGATTATCTGAGTTCTTGAAAAATCTGTACCAGCAAGCATTTTCTCCACTCCTCAGGCATCTTCTGATAGTCTGGATAAAAAGTCTGCTACCTTCTCTCCAAGGTCATTATAGTTACTATATATATAACTAAAGTAAAACCCGAAATAGGTGTGGAAAAACATTTTATTTAACTGAACTAAAAATAAAAAGGGTTAGGTTAGTTCTTTTATATTTTAAACCAATTGTCTTTAAGGTCTGAGTTTTGTCACCGTCCTTTGCTGAATGAAACAGACCACAAGAGGGCAGCTCGAGGCCATTCCCTTACCAAACAGGGCCTGTGTAGACCTAACAGTTTTGTAATCTGAAATTTAAAATCTAGCAGTATGCTGTTGGGTAATTAATTTTGAAAAATCTGATTAAATATTTCAATATGAAATACATTGAAATTCCAAAATGCAAGCAATGGATAGATCCTATAACCAATACAGACCTGTATGTGTCTTTAAGCAAAACAAATGCAAATACACGACACATAAGGAAAGAGTAAAATTTTGGGAAGATGATATAAAACATTTAAAACATCTTTACACCTTTGAAATGGGGAGATGATGGTGGTGGTCTAATAGGAAATTTATTTATTTTTGTGATAAAACGTTAAAAGGACACCCCGCCCCCCGCCCGCCCCCAACAGTTTTTAGAGCCATGCCATGAAATAATTCCAAAGTAATCAATGAACTCCTAAAATGGATTCTGGCAAATGGGAAGACTGTGTAATTCTGCCATTAATGAGGTGATGACTGACTGGAAACTTCTGTGGTAACCTACTAAGGTTTTTAGACATGTACAGTGAAGGGGAGAAAAGGGTCTCCCATGTATGATTTTGATCAGTCTCTCCCATTGCGGTGGAGAATTTTTTCTTCAGTTAGATACCCAGGTCCTGTGGCTATTAGACCAAACGTGAACTTGAATTGAATTTGTGGGTTTGTGGCCAAATGACCAGTTAAACTTTGTAACAAACGTTGTGTGAGTATGAACATTCCTGGTTTTGTTTTTTGTTGTTTTTTCTTTTCTTTGTTTATTTCACGATGGCATTAAGGTGTCAAACGGATCTGATTTCAGTGTTTGAGGTTTATCACAGGTGATCACATCCCTATTACCATCTCCATTAACAGCTATAGTAGGGAGGAGTTTTCTCACACAGGACAAGATCCCTGACTGGAGGTCAATGACCATTCCCATCTGGAAGGGTCATGAGCAGAGATTGGCAGTAACGCGTTAATGTAATCTGATTACTTTTTTCAAGTAACGAGTAAAGTAAGGGATTACTATTGCAAAAATGGTAATTAGATTACCGTTACTTTCCCAGAAGCACGCTGCGTTACTGCGTTACTAAAACCATGATTTTCTTGTGAGAATGTCTCATGGCAGCGACGTAAGGGAGTGCAATGTTCATGACATTTATCAAGACATCACATATTTGTATAAGTGCTCTAACGTTTTGAATGTTGCATATAATTATATTTTTGCTTGATGCATAAAGTTAAAAGATTAAAACTAATAAAACAAGTTTTAAAAAGAGATTTTTCCATTTGATTACATTTTGTATGATGGATTATGCAGAAAAAGTAGAATTGGGCTGAAAGATCAATTGCTTTATCAACTATTCAGGTTGTAAATCGTGTTTTTAAAAAGTAACTAAGTAATTAATTACTTTTGAAAATAAGTAATCAATAAAGTAACGGGTTTACTTTTTTTGGGGAAGTAATCAGTAATTAGTTACTGATTATTTTTTTCAAGTAACTTGACCAACACTGGTCATGAGGAGAACAAATCAGGGAGTGCAAAGTCAAAAGCATGGCTCTTTACCTGCGTCATTATTCAACTAATCAGATAGATGCACATTCTCATATAAAACTTTGTGTAAAGCTAAGATAGATTACTCTCTTTTTGGGAAGTTGGCTGCAGCTAACTGCTTGCAGACTGTCATGTAAATGCTCATTTTGGATCATCCAGTGCTTTAATATATCCACTAAAAGATGAAGTGTTTCGACTGGTGATTTCTAAAGGTGTATAAATGATCACGCTAACACAAGCAAGGAGCTTTATGACAGCACTCTCTGAGATGAAAGGAGAGAGATCATTTTGTTTTGGCATGACTGAGAAATTTGCAACCATGGTTGACATACTTGAAATGACAATCTGCACTGGTT